TAGCAAAAGCCGATAATATAGGAGCACCAAGAGTTGGTGAAACTTAATTGCATTAATTGATTTATCTTTGAGTCCAGCGTTTCGTGTCACTGTCGATTTGAGCAAAGGGTGTGCGCATTCATTTGCATGTGAATTTGAAGGTCCGCTTTAAGCAGTCTGCGATGAAGTAATATTCGATGATGTTGAGACGTAAGATTTCATTTACAAATAATGTTCATAATCAAACGACGATTGTGTAACTATATTACACGTTTTAGTGTTGGGTACCATCTTGACTTTAAGGATTCGCTCCTACCTCAAACCACTGACAAATATCCAAGTGTTGGAATGCATGATCCACAGTACCCATGAAGAGTCTGGGAGTAGACCATGGCAATGTATCTACTCAGTGTGTTGCTACAGTTTCCCCAGTGGAAATTCGATAGCACAATGATACAGATGACAATTCTGAAGCAGAGGTTTGCATTTTGTGAACAAATTATCATATTTATTATTATGATGCGTGATGTGTATTCTAAACATTTTGCAAACCTGCTTAAGGTTGGTTTAACTATTCAACGACCCATTACATTTACATTTATACTTCAACGTCAATGGTTTATGTGTTTGATTGACATTTTAGAAGTTGATGAATAATAGTAAATGTATGATGCTTTATGAGTAAGAACTTCTTTCATATATTGTGACGTTTCGGTACAGATTATTATACCGTTGTCAGGCAAAAGTAAAATACAGCACAGAACCGACTTATGTACATCAAACAGGGATAAAACAACATGAGGATATGTGCCAAAAGATTAATACAAACAACAACAACACAACAACAACGACAACAACAACAATAGATATTGGTAATAAGGCACTGACAATAGAAGGAAGCCAACAGTTGAAGAGGCGGAACACAATATAAATATACATTTTATGATTCACATAGGATTATTTAAGAAATACTCTTCGCTCTACCACCATGTATAGTGTAATAAAACACACTTTTGCTAAAGTGTGTTTTATTACACTATACATGGTGGTAGGGCGAAGTGTATTTCTTTTCTAAGATGCCAAATTTAATACTTTCTAAAGATAATTACGATTAATTTAAGGCAGAAAACAAACGACGGTGTCGGTGACCTAAATTAGGAATCCTCGCACAGGGCTAACTGGCGCGCTGTTCTTTTGATGTGTCTGCCCCCTACGTTAAGACGAACGTTACCAGAAAAAAAACAAATGATAACAGTTTGATGACGGTTTATGTTCGGATTAAATATCTTCTCTGAATTATTTTAATTACATCTGTCATTAACGTAAACCATATGGGGCAATATGAACGTTGCATTTCTACTACCAGCGTAAGTTTAGATCAGTACATCCAGAGGAAGTTGAGTAGTCAAGCGACATTCCACAATTGCATTGTGGGATGTAAACATTACGAACGTTACCGTGTCGCTGAAAACTTGTGAGTAGAAATGACACATTTTAACCGTCGTAAAACATAAACGTAATGTTTCCACCAGTGATGTTAGCTGCGTGAAGCAACAGCAAACCAAGAAACTGGATGCAACGGTGTAGTTTACTGTAGGAGGCCGTACGAGGCGATGACAACTGACATGCATCGTGACGTCGCTTACATTGTGACGTAATGTAAAATTGTTCGATTACGAGGGGGCACACTAGAATGGCGCAGTGACGGGATAACGTCATTCAATTGTTACGTCATCAAAAAACTATACCTTTATTGTCTGATAATGTATTTTTTTTTAGATTGTTCTAACCGCTAGGCATCTTAGAATTAGCGATGATGCCTGGAATGATCTGTTCTGTTAATGATTTAATTATAAATTTCTAAACAACGTATTTAGAGTATACTTTGATTGTCCAAGAAGTATTTTATAACCTTGTAAATCGGTGTTATTCACGTCTGTGTCTATGTTTGTGTGTCTGGTTTACAGTAACGTTTGTTCTCGACTAATCTGTAGTTACAGACGCGAGAGACGATGTGCATATATATATATATATATATATATATATATATATATATATATTGCATAGATAAATAAAAACAGAATGCCTTTTTCTCCAACATGTTTCGTTCTTTACTCTTCAGGGAGATTGTAGCGGTTACAGTATGACGTCATTACATATATATTGTGACGTCATAATAGGGACAACATTCTAGAGCGACAAGGTCACAGCTTGCAATGGTTTAACATTGGTTTGTACTTAAAGGGCAAGTGTACACGAAAAAATCATTTTGTTTCTTACATGAATCAAAATTCAGTTTTAGAATTATTACTTATTCATTTTTGGATATATGCACTCATCTTTTTCATATTAATAGTTTGAACCTGAAAATACGTGTGAAAATGGTGCGCCGTGATGAAGCATTCGATTTCAGAGCGAAACAGGCCTGAGTTACCCCCCTTAGATATGACGTAATTGGTGCCACTCTAACTGGTAGCTTGTCTTAATCTGACGTGAAAGACATCCAGTACCAGTTTACTGTCACAAACAACATGGCCTCGGATTCGTCGTCTGATTGCGAAGAATTTTCACTGAATCAAGAAAACGTCCAACCATATTCCTTTGAACCGACAAGGGCTAATTTCCCTGACTTCAAAGTAAAGACGAGATACGATCAAGTGCATGATGTGGAACCTAGTGAAGACCTTTTGTCTTCAAACATTGTGTCGTCAAGCGCAGAGTCCGATTCATCGAGACCACCGTGGTAAGATCATAATATTACTTCTATCTAAATAATGTACATTTCAAAATATAAACTTATTTGTAGTGATGCTTGCTATGCCTGATAACCAGCACTCTTCGTTTGCTTTTCGCCTGGTCCATCCCCGTCACAGTGTCAGTGTCATCAAATATGCTTGTCCAAACAATAATTGAAGATAACACTTACATCTAACTTCACAGGGAGTTTTCACTAGATTGTAGTATTATTGTCGTTTTCCTTGAGTAAAGTTCGCTTTATCTTCCCCAAACACGTACGTAGTTCTGATGGTTTCGTTTCCCAACGCAGTCATTACCGTGGGCACGTAATACCGGAAATATGTTTACAACGTTGACAAATCAGACAAATAAATACTCTTGTATTATATGAACACCATGTCTGATTATAAAGAATATGCATTGTATATGTTGCTTTGTGTTTGCAATGTGTTTTCATAATTTGGTTGTTACATTAATTTCTGTGAAATCGGGTGTGTGAAACCGCAGCACATCAATTTTCCGGTTTACCGTGTTTTCTAACCAAAACCAGGATCAAAGAACGACAGTGAACGAACTTTAGTTTACAGATAATGTATATTTTTCCATATCTACTATCACTCGATTAAAACAAGTTGCTACATCCAGTATACGTTATCGACATCTTATCTGAGTAACACGAAAATAGGGGACACTGCACTGACAGTGACATGTTTTGTTTGTAAACCGGTACATTCATTGATCAATGGTTATAAGTTTTTCTGACCTTTGACTGTTAATGAGAAAATTGTAGTAGCTCTTGGAAACTGTTGAAAAAGTTCTTCATTCAAATATGTTATGATATGATATGAAACACACACACACACACACATACAATAAATATAAATGCAAATATGAATTTATGCTGCAGGAAAAAAACGGCTTCTTCATGAGTATACAAGTCAATTGATTTTTCAAAGTAAAATTACTACTCATTCGATAATGTTACAGGTGCACTTGTGGTCACTGCGTCCACATGCAGTCTGAAGTAGAGGAGCTATGTTGTCAGGATGTTGCTCCAATCAGGGAAAAGCTTGATACATCAAATCACAACTGCATTACTTCTCACCCTGGCCTCCATGACGTATCACTGAGCAAGTATAGTATGGAGGCATACTACAATGAATTCATTGACAGCAGTGGCCCCATAGGTGATGATGAACCAATACACAAGTAATATACCGAAATATGCTTATAATTTCTAAAATTATTATTTGCATTACTAAAACAAGATACAGACCATGTATTTGTAGATGAATTTGAAAAAGAGCAATATTTTTCCATTTCCATAATATTGTATATCCAGAGAAATGATACAAGAAAAGTAGTACCTCATAAGCCTTATACAGGTAAATCATGCTATGCTTTTGTTACTGGAGCCTTCATTTAACTGTTTTAGTGTATTAATAATTTGAACGCCCCATTTATTTCTCATAATAGGTTCTAACTCATGGGAAATGTGAATATCCTGAAGACAGATTACTGAGCAATTCCTTTCCGCCAGATGTTCATAATTTCTTTCCGTTTCTGTTTTTCGGCAATGCCCCTACAGTTAACAGAGGCTATTTTAATATTACTACTCATTAAAATCATGTAATTGGTACATAGTTAAATGGATGTAAGTTGAGATGAGATGACCTGATATGCTGGATTTTGCAATATAATAAAAAACCAGGAAAGTAAACAAGTGTATAAAAGCAACAATTGCTACCGGATTGGTGTACCAAACCATCTGAGGATGTGTAGTACTGGATGAAAATATGCCCTACACAATAGACCTAGTTGGAAGATCAACCCTACACAATAATCACAGGCCCTCGTGTCTTTGCGAGGATTAAAGATGTTAAAAAACATAAAACATTTGAGGTGACCCCGACTTGAAATGCTTCACAGTACAATATAATTTGACCTGTTGTTAATGTAATGAATGAAGTTATTGATGAACTTTATCCCTCTTGTCATCTACCATATTTTCTTCCTCCAAAGTGACACCACCCTCTCATCAGACATGACACTATCAAACAGACACATTCTTGAAATACACAAAAACCTCCCCACTAACTAGAACCATAAACCCCATACTCTTTATCCAAATGGATGTAGTATTTCTCGAAATTTTAAAAAAGTTCAGCATGTTGAAATGGAGACAATGTATGTGTACTTAAAATCATATTCATATTTTTCAGAATCTATCGACATCTGGCCTACAGAAGATTTACATACTGGATTTGGCAGAAATTGGGAAAAATCATCGCAAGGTGATTCCTTCTTGTGTTGTCCATGTTATACGTGCAACATTTCCATCAGATGTATATACTGGATTTCTTTATTCTCACTAGAATAAATATTGTTTTAATGGAAACGTGTTTTATGGTTTCTGACAACGATTTGTTTTTCCCGTTTCTTTCCGTGAGTTTCAGTCATGCAGGGTGGCTGATGTTCATTTAGGGAGTTGTCAGCAAGGGCACAACTTGGAAATTCTGTTCGAATGTCGGACACCTCCTGTAACAGCTCGCCAATATATTCTGAAAAGTAAATACCAAATATACATTACCGGCTACATGTCGTCATTGTCATAAAAGAAAAAGTCCATCATTGCGCATTATGTCTGTGTATAATAGGAAAAGTTGAACAATGTCATGAAAGTTGCATATCACTAATATCATACCATATGTTGGATTTGTTTTGAGAGGTTTAGCAGTAGCCTCCCAGTTTCTGCTCTTAGGATATGAGACACTCCATTTCTCTTCTCCTGTTTTGGTGTGTGCTTTCAGTCGTGTTCCATTCTCATTGAAGTGGAGGGCAGACATCAACAACCTGTTACAATATTATTATTGTTAAAACAGTAATTTCACCACTGACTGTTTTATATGATGGCATACACAAAATATAACTGTAGTTAACAATAAAAGAAATTCAAAATTCTGATTGCAGGACCGAGACCATGGTATGCTCTATTATTGTCTCTGAGTGGGTTACTAAAATAAGTAAATCCTATCAAAATTGTGAGGCAAACTGGTTATGGCTAATTGTTATCCAGTGAAAAAACAATTGAACAGTTTTCTTTGATAGTAAGTTGGTACATACCTTGCCTTCATACCATTGTAATGATAATGGTAGAACTTTGGAGCGAAGTGACATATGACACTATGAAATCCTTCAAGGTATGATGTCTGCCCATGAGGTGACAGTTTGGCTACATCTTTCAGGAGATATCTGGACTTTAAGATGCTTTCTATCTCCTTGTGAGCTCGTGTTCCTGAAGAATAAATTCATGTTTTAATATATTTTTATAAAATGAATGCCATTTTTGTCTTCATTATCAGTGATGAACATGTCTAATCACAGAGCAATATTTGATTTTGTGAGTGGTCAGTTGTACTCAGGGAGCTGACTGAGTGGGCGAGATCAAGAAAATGGAAAGATGGGTGTGGGTTTGTAACAAACCAATGATGATGCTTAGTGTGATAATCATTACAATTTTTACAAAAACTTCAAGTTTGAATGTCAGGCTGCATATGAAAATGTAATATCATACATTATGAAGTTGCTTGGTTAATTTTACATACCAGCAGGTATCCAAATTCTATCTTGAATTTCTCCATGCATACAAGATGGAAAGGTTTCACTGTGACCACTATGTATGTTAGCTAAGTGGTTGCCAATCGACAACCACTTAGCCAGCACCTCCTCAGCATTGCCATGGCTGGTGGCAGCACACCAGTACATATGATTGGAAATGGAGTGTGCCCACAGGCTGATTATTTCCAGGCCTTTCTTCTTGCTTACTTTTTGAAGTTTCTTGTAAATACCTGAAAACATCAAATGCGGCTGGTACAATGGATCATCACTTGTTAGAAAAAAAGTTATTGAAGTAAACTTACCTCGGAGTGTGTTTGTTAAGGTTAAGGTGATTTAATATATTTGTCGAATAATATTTAATTTATATTCCACTTTCTGAAAAGCATTTTCATGCCATAACTGTGTCAATGACACTAAATATTAAGTCTAATCACGATATGATGGGTCTTAAAAACTATTCACCTTTAGCAACATGCCATACATCAAACCAATGTTTAATGCCACCTTTCTCCCTCTTTATATAAGCTTTTACTTGAATGTGTCGGTCTGTTATTATGTCTGAAACATTTACTCTGGCATTCTCAAGATGTGCAAGGCCCCTTTTCAATCCTTCAAGTTCCATGGCATTCGAATTGGCCACTTCATTTGACTGAAACAGAGCAATGTAAATTAAGTCATTAAGTCATCAGAAAGTATTACTGTACACAACTGAGCATGTTCACTCTTATGCTGTGCATGTCATTTTATGTTATGACAGGATTGTATTCTTACCTGCACCAACTGGATGTCCAAAACTTGATGTGTGTCCACATCGATCAATGTATAGCTTCCATACTTAGCTGTAATACATAAACACATACATACTATATACAATTGACACAACTTTTCTTCCAAGACATGCTCATGTTAAATATATCAAATACAGTGAAACATTTCTATTTCATAATGGTTTTCAGCCAATTCTTCTTACTATTCCCAGTTACACATGAAATTTATAAGCCAAATAACTTATTGAAGCCAAACTAGTGTGGACATACCTGTATGTCCAGGTGAGCAACACCTTGCATCCCCTGCCAGACGTACAGATTTCTCTTTCCTATCAGCTAATAGCTGAGTTTGGTGTTTTGACCACACCCTTGAAATAGCTGGGACTATGTAGCTTCTCTGGAGTTTATGAAATGTTGACATGCTTATATTGTACATGTTCATAGTTGAATAGCTCCTTAGAGCCTTTGCTGGGCAAAGACTACTAAAGAAAACAGCACAAGCTATGGCTAAATTGCCAAGTGGCAATTGTTTGTGTATTGGCTGACTATTCCAGAAGTATGCATGCTCTTGGTGTCTGAGGCACTGTACCTGCACTGTCACCAGACTACCACAGATATGATAAATTTTGGCTCTGCATGAATAAAAGCAGAATTTGCAAAACATGAAAAGTGACAGCAAATTGGATTCAAACACCAGGAACTTTGTTTCTTCCATATGGTTGTTCAGGGACCTGAAATGTGAATTAACAACTGTCAAAATCACATAGAAAATTGTACATGTTACATCAGTGCGATCACAATTATTACACGTTATATGGCAGATATGACATAAATTGGGAATTGGCACATTTAATACATACTCTGGCTGGGATTGAGATTCTTCGAACTTGATCTGACTTGAATGTGGATTGTAATCTTCATCAGTGTCATTTCCATCATCAGTTGTGTCAGGCATATTGTTCTTGCTGTCAGCATCACCTGGTGCCTGGGTAACAATGTGACCAATTTGCATAAATAGTATTAGGGCTGTAAGTGCATACACTAATGCTCAGTTACTACCAGATATTTACATCAAAATCAATTCTGTTACAATATCACTAAAACATAACATAATGTACATGTTTCAATACAGAACAATATTTACTGGATGTAGATTTTGAATGAGTAGTTATTGTAAACATGTTATTGTTACCTCATATTGTGTAGCACGGTCGCATGTATCTGGTGTACACTGGACAGCAATTGTGCACCAAGATGTGTTCATGCTCTTCTGGGTACCAGTCGACATCAAGGAGGGTGTCACACACTGACAGGACTTACTCCGACACTACACATTTGGAAGATACAATACAAACATTCAAAAATTGTAAAAAAATATGCAATATAATTTACATTAATTAAAATTTGTCAGTAAGTGTTGTCTTATTACCCTAACTTTTCTGTATTTTTTAAAGCACGGTCTATAAGGAAAGTCAGATTTAAATATTGTATTAATTAACATGCGAAATAACATACAGGTAATTTGTTCTTTATTTTATATCTTTATTAATGTTCTTACCGAAATGAGTTGGTTTGTGTCTGTTCCCACGTCAACTGTCTCAGTAGTAGAAGATGTACGTGAGTGGATGTTGACAGCTTCGTTTTCCTCCACACACTGACTGCCCTCCGGCATCGAGGGGGAACTGGTATTGGTAAACACTACCCCCAGTCGTGAATGAGAACGGCTACAAATTTCAAAAGAAAAGCATTCGATGACGTTATTCACCCCCAAAAAAAAATTCCACAAATGGTTCCGATTCAAAATCACAAAACCAAGCACAATACTTTAGCTCAACGATCAGCTGATCACCGAGGATCGATGTCATTGAAACCAGGAAGTGAACGAGACGCACATCTAATTAGCTACCGAAACTATGAATAAATACTTCTTTATTTTATATATATAAACTACAGTCTTATAAACTAGGGTAGCATGTTTACATTATTTTGGTATTTACTTACTTACCAGAGTTCCCTCGACTTTACGTCGTTTGTTTACAAAAACTGACCAGTCGGGCTCTTGATGAGAGTGCTGTCCCTTGACCTCATTACCATACAAGGATGGAACCGCATCGGGGCGTAGTTGTTTCCGATCAGCTGACTGACTGAGAGTCGTCGATCGCGACACACGACAGCAAATATCGAAGTGCGCGACACACACCCGCGATTCACTAGTCGGGCCATTCCAGTCACTCTCCTTCTTTTACAGAATTTTATCCATTCTTGTCTTCTCCGTGGTGATTTGGGGAAGCGGAAATAACTTACTTTGGTTTCATGTTTGTTTTGCATTGTGGTTCATACAGCGAGGAACCGAACAGTGCACCATGTTCAATTCAATAGTATGCGCATCTGAGACGCTGGAATCAAACACTTGTGCTTGCACTACGTGAAGCGGTTCCATACAACCTGATGACGTCATTTGTTTATAAATGTGGCACCAATTACGTCATTTCCAAGGGACATAAGCCATGGTGTTTTTACTATTGAAATGGAACACTTGGTAAATGTGTAAAATAAAAATCGTTTTCCTACAAACAATATATAGTTAATTTTATAATTTTACTGTTTTTGTCTTTAAAAGTACCAAGTAAATAATTTTCATATTAAAAAAGAGCAAGAAAAATAGGTTCATTTTCGTGTACACTTGCCCTTTAAGGATTGACTGTGTATTTCTTTCGTTGCATTGAGGTATGAAACTAAAAACCAATGTGCAAACTGTATGAATCCGTTTAATTAAATTCAACAACAAATACTATAGGCTTTCAACAATATTTTATTTAAACACAATCAAATTCATCGAAACAGATATATTTGTTACCACCGATTAACATTTTCGGTGTAAGAATTCGGTAATGGCGTGACATGACTCAGGTGACTCATTTACATAAAATGACACGCCTACCAACCATTAGCCAATCAGCATAGAGCACCCCCAAACAGCTGTCAATCAACCAAGCTCACATCGGGGTAGCGAATCAGAGCGGAACAACACAACGTGACGCGTTCCGGTAACGGCAAAGTTTCAAGTTCAAACATTTGAATTATTACCAGCGAACTGAAAGACACAGTTTGAAAAGTGAGAATTGGAAATGAAGCCCGATGACATGAAGTTAGTGGAACTGAGATTGTTAGTGGCAGCAGTTTTTGCGCAAGTGGAAAGGGGCTGTGATGTGACTGGGATTGCGATGCCATGAACTGATGTTCCAACATGCGCATGCTCTTGTCGAGGCGTTACAATGGCGGAAAGCGTCTCGCTAATTCTTAGTTTTTGAGTAGTCGTTGTGTGGCGACTATAACTACGCACGGAACTTTCATTCCTATGGCCACTCATAAACATTATGTGACAAAGTTCAAAGCCAGCGTCACTCATGGCTTGGATTGCTGTGGCGCGAAGGCAATGAGCAGTGTATGACTGACTACATTGGGCATTGCGACATATGTCAGACATGAAACGAGTGAACTGGTATTTTTTTGACTGGGGTTGCTGTATACCAAATGTTGTGTGCGTCTGGAGAATTAAGTGCATCTTTATTACAGTGCGAAAAAAGTGATCCGGCATTTGGGTCACTTTTGTCAAGGAGCTGGCGAAGTGCATTGACGGAACATTGGGTTATATCATTCGTCGCGTATACATGTATTCGTTTTCGGCTTTGCGCTTCATCGCTGCTGAGACCACCCTGGATGTTTTTTTGGTTTCGTTTCGTGGGACAGTGTGACATATTCAACATTGCTATCATCTACCGCAAATTCAAAGGATGTGGGCGTAAGCTGCTGGTGAAATTCAAGACCACGACTTACAAAATGGATGGCCAAGTCGTACCATACTTTGTACCGGAGGATAACAGGATTGGATGCCGAATGCAGATAAGTGCTAATTTTCATCAGATCACTTGTTTCAATGATTGATTTATGTTGTGTGGGACGTGACAAGCCATGTTGTACATTGTACTTTAATTTAGCATCAAGCATATCATGTGCAGACTTAAACTGCTTATCTCTTACAATGTCAATATCTCTCCCGATATCATTTAAGTGTCTTTTCAGGGCAGAACGAACATTTTTCAAAGTGTTCTTGTGATACTCGGCAGCATGTGCAGCCGGCATATTTTCATATCTTGCTTCCTGGTTTTTTAGGCTGTGCCTCAGTGTAGACAAATCTCAACATTGTGTTAAGTTCCTCTGGTGTAATATTGTTGAAAAATCCAGTCCTCCCCCCTCGCTCTCGAACGACCAATCTAAATAAACAAAACGAAAACAATATCTAGAAACCTGACTATGACAGACCCAACTATGTAAACTTTGAACTAGGTAACTTTATAGCAAATCATTTTTCTCGGTTAGATCTACATAATTTAATCTCATTCTGATAATTGTTCCATTTTTAAAAATACAACTTTGTGCTGATGAACTGTGTTTCGTTTTGAGAAAATACACGTAGGATGGAATTTGAAAATAATATTTAAATGAATTGTGTATATCTACCTTGGAATAGTTTAACACCCCATTTTGTGTTTCTTTTTGTGGATGTTGATTGTCTGTAGTCGTCCATTCGAAGTAAATCATTATTTGATAAACGTTTGAAACGATGTGTTTGGGATGGCTTATCATCGACTTGCATTGCACACGTCATCTCGTGATTTGCCGATGTTTTTGTAGATCTGGTTGATGCTGTTATCTCTAACAAACTTTCAATTTCTTCCAGGTCTAAATCATCCGGAAAATCAATGTTATCCGTGCTAAGAGTTGCAACGTTTCCGGTAGATTGATCTTCGAAAATCGACTCAAAATTCACCAGATCAAAACTTCCGTACTTGGAATCGGCCATCTTGTTTGAATGTAAACAAGACAAGTTGCAGACGACTGTTCGCTGACTGCACGTGGTAACCACAGTAACCAGTCAAATAATGTATTATGACAAACACTTTTTTATTAAATAAACACTTTAACGTTCACGGATGATTTTGAGTTGTTTGTTTATGTTAACCACAATGTATCACTTCAATGTTTATCCAAAGTTCATTAAGGTACCCGAGTACAAGGGAATTCCCTCGCTGTGTAAAGGTATTCCCCGACATTCCTCAGGTCCGAAAGTAGTCCGGTTCGGTGGGCGTGGCTTATTTTTTTAGATTCATTGGGAAATGAAATCAAAAGAAATGTTCCCAGTTAACCAATCAGATTGCCAGAATTTTAATGAACACAATAAAAATTTAATTATTTGTCTATGAAGTAGTGTTCTTTTAAAATTCGTTTTACTTTGTCCGAATTTTGAACTTGATAAAAAGGAAATATTGTAAATTTAACATCGTTTCCTTTCGCACAGACATCTAGATGTTCACTCAGTGGGATACATCGGGTTTCAGGACACTTTATTTGTTGTTTGTGGACACGAACCCGGGCTCTTAAATTTTCTGATTGACCAATATACTGTTCATTACAGCCTGTGCATGTTATGACATATATTATGTTTTTGCAAGAGCAGTCAAAATTCCTGTTTTACATAGAATTCTCCGTGTCTCGTGAAAGTTACAGAGTGTCCTTCAACAATATGTCGACACGTTCCACAGTTACCTCTGTTGCATCAGTAGGATTTGATAAATTCTGTTTCTTTGAAATAAATTTGGCTTTTGTTAGTATCTTTTTTAAGATTCTGATTTTGTCTTTTGCTATTTATTATTTTTCTAGATTTCAGCATTGATTTCAGTTTTTCATCTTGTTCTAAGATGCACATATTTGTTTTTATGTTCTGGAACACATTTGGGTTCAATGGATTATAAGTAGATAGAAAAGCAATTACTTTTTCCTCATTGGTTTGTTTCATCGTTCCTGTCAAAAGATCGTCTCTATTAAGCTGTAAAGCTTTATATATTCCGTCTTCAACAAGAGATTTTGGATATTCCCGTAATAGTAAAAACGTCCTAAGTTCATTCAGTCTTTGATTGCGGGTGTCTTGGTTTGAAACTATTGTACATAATCTTCGTGCCAGGTTATATGGAAGACTTCTTTTGGTGTGGCTCGGATGGCAAGATTTGAAGTTTAAATATTGTTTCGTATCTGTAGGTTTGTAGAAGATATCTGTGTCCAATTTCCGCCCCGATTTGATGACCATTGTGTCTAAGAAAGCTGTTTTAGTTTGATCTGCCTCCATAGTGAAAACAAGATTTTCGTCCATGCTATTTAATAGTTCGTAAAATGTATTTAGTTTCTCCTCAGAAAATGGCCAAATTATGAAGCAGTCGTCTAGAAATCTTTTCCAATTTTCCATGAAATAATGGGCAACATCCTCTCCAAGAATTTGACTGATTTTATGCTTGAACTTTTCCTCCAGATATCCTAAGACAAGCGTCGCATAAGTCGGCGCCATTTTGGTTCCCATGGCTGTTCCTTTAATCTGTTTATAGTACTTATTGTCAAAAAAGAAAATATTGTTTTTTAAGATGAATTCAACGCTTTCCAAAATGAATGACTTTGAAATTCGCTCAGGAATGTGTTCTTCACAACGGTTTAACCAATAATCCAACGCTTTAATTCCTAGGCTGTGCGGGATATTTGAATACAAATTTTTTACATCAAAAGTTACAAGTTTGCTTGTTTCATTAACGTTTTGTGGTAAAGAGGAAAGGAAATGCATGGTGT